TATGGCTATTCGCATTCGCATCAATGTTACAATTTTCATTTACGTATATAACCATTTATACTTGCTTTTGGTGATTTACATTTGGTTTGAACATCTATTTCGAGTTATTTGTCGACGCCATGCTTCTGAGAAGTATCAAAGGCTTAATTTTTTAATTTATTCAATGTGTGCGTTCCTGGAAATATTAACACTAAAGCCAACCACCAAATGAAAATTCAATGAATATTTATTTGGATTTACTTTTTGCAGAGATTAGAAATGTTCTGTTTTTTGATATAAGGTATGTTTTTCACATGTAAACTCAAACGCATGAGTTCAATCAAACAATCATAGCTTTCACGTACATATTTTTGGATTTTAATCACTTTTGCATCTGAACAATGTTACAACGTTTTGCTTTAATACATTATAGGCAACCGAAGCTGGGAAAATCCAATTCTTACTTATTCAAATGAAGAACTTTGCAGATGGCTGCTCGTGCTTTTGGAGGTCAAGAAAATAGTCAGATACCATGTACTATTGGTGGCAATTTGTCACTGGCAAAGGCTATGAACAGCAACCATCCTTGTTGTTCAGCTATTGAGAGAAACTATGGTACATAGAACTAATTATGTACTTCGTATACATGAGCTAAGATCAAGCAATATCACATTTATATATATTTTTTATGCACGTTGACATGCGAAGAAGAGTAGAAGCGTCACATAGTACAACACTCTATTTCCCGCTATCGATACTTTTTCCTCTTCTCACAGATTGCTGAATCAAGAAAGATATATGCCGATCAGAGAGAAGAAGAAGTGAAGCTATCAGATGGATCAATTGAGAAACTTGAGAGTACACTATCAATGTACTTGAAAACAAGTGGTTAGAACTAATCATTCTTTCATATGTAACAGTTATTTAATTTTGTGTTTACTTTTCTGATTGAAGCGTATTTTAATATGTTTGCATTATCATAGGTGAAGCGGAAAGCCAGCGTCTGCAAACGGAGGAATTGGAAATGGAGCTTCATACCATTCGCCAATAGATGGAAAGTGCTAGAAATGCTGATGGGGAAATGAAAAGGTTAGAATAAAAAAGCCACCTAAATAGGTGTATATGTTTAAAGCAACTCATTTCCTATTTTATGTGCTAAAAGGATTTTAGATGACAAGCATATGGATCATGAGGAAACTAGGAAGCATATAGAAGTGCTTGAGAGAAATACGGCTGACCTAAAGACAGAGGTAACTATATATGTTATTTGAACAGCGATTAGTCTAATTGAATTCAAAACTCGCCAAGGTGGATAGCATGACCCATGTTATCTATCGACTTTTGTTGGGAGTCAAACAGAACGTGACAAATTGTGCAGTCAGTAGTTATTTAACTTATTTTTCTTTTTAGCATGACCCATGATTAAAAAGTCATCTCCATAGACCATTAAGAGGTCTAAAGAACACGTTTTTACACCTTCTACCACAGTTCCATTCTTGTTAGGAGAGGTGGTTGTGAAAGAGATATGGAGTCTATAATAACTTTCTTAGAAGAATCAAAAAATGTTCTCTTTAGACCATTAGGTCGGTTACAAGAATGGAATTGGCCACTTAGCCATTATCTCAAACCGTTTCCTTCGGATTTCGTCTCCGAGCAATTGAAATATTTCCCTCTATCACTTCAAATTCGACGCCGCAAGCTTTTCTTCGTAGTACTCTCTTCCTCTTATCTGTCTATTATGGTGATTAATTCGAGTATTAAACTTGTCAGGTGAAGACTGGGATGCTTCCTTCTCCGGAGGTTATTCTCTAAAATCTCTCGTATTTTCCAGCTCGTGGTATATACTAAAACACCTCATTGGTTCTAAATACAGATTTGAAATTGTGTGTTTTTAATGCTTATGTAGTTCGTTTTTCTCAAGGAAGCTTTACTTGTTGATCATGTGATGATATCTACAAGTGGGCATGTTCTTCATGGTTCTTCTATTATCCTCTATTATCTCCATATTAGTGAACCTTTATAAATTGTTTAGCTCATTTAAACTCACATTTTCCTCTGAGTTTTTTCTTGTGTTTTAATGCAGAAAAAGTAAAGAAATTGATTCCTTAAAATTGTGTTGAAAAGAAAGGCTCGTCCCAATAATGTTAATAATAAGTTTTGGGGCATGAACCGGTCGCTAAACCTTATGGTGGACTTGGTCACTACACAATTCCACAGGAGATGGATGAGTTGTGCGCATGGTTGACATCGACCCTCGGGCTCGAAGGTTGAACCTTTTCAGTGATGTTGCTTTGTGATGAAAAACCCCAAACTCTTTGAGAGCTTCATTGATTTGGATTGAATCTTTCGGATTTTCACTTCGGATAATAACCCCAAATAGGAAAGAAACATTTGCTTTACTTGGTAGTGTTTGGATCAAGAATGTTGCAGAAATGCAGACTACATAAAAGTTGTTACTTGAAATGAGTCCTATGTTTCCCATTTCTCTCATTCTTCTGCCGCTTACACTTTTCTTGCTCCATAGAAAGAGACAAGGCATGGAATCAGAGATATTGATGTAGGGTGGAGGGAGGAAAAAGAAAGACACAAGGTACTATTATTGTTGTTTATCTTATATGAATGATGTTTGCTTGGGGTTTGACTGGTCGTCTTGCCATTTTCGTCTAACGAATTTCATCTTTGCAGCTCCACATAGTATGATTCTCATATATCAATGATTGTAGCCGAACCGGCGCAAGTCCAATAAACCCTACAAATTACACTGATGGACCATGTGAACTGGGACTACTAGAAAATTAACAAGTAAACTCTTTTCCTACCATGTTGTAGTAATTGTATTGGATGTTCCGATTTTTGGAGTAAAACATTAATTCTCCTCTTCTACTTGCATTACTGTCTTTTGTAGACTCTTTTTAAAAATAGTCTTAGATAAATAGGCATCCTAAGAGTCCACAGAAGCCTACATAGCGAGGTCGATGGTAATAACTGTAGTTATAGTGCTGATGAATATAACGTATAAGAGTGGTTGTGCAATGGCTTATGTTTACCATACTAATATGTGTTTTTTAGGTGTGTCAAGTCAGTTAGACTCAAACGTACAGTAAAGTTATTTACTAAGCTCATAGATGTATCATGTCTCTTACCGGTTTTTTATCAGATTCTCTAAAACTCTATCTTTTTGGATGTTTGCAAATATTGAAAATAGGTAACATCACGTACAATGGACACTATCTTGATGAGTTCCACTTCCATGTTAAAAGGATTTTGAGGATATATAACTGAAGCATATTCAATGTTCACGAAAGCTTGATTTTTCTTCCAGATGTATGGTGGATGCTAAGGATTTATGGATTTGGAGGTCTCTCAGAATTTATAGCTTATTTATATTATCGAATTGTTAATTTAAACATCCTAAATT